CCTTTTTACTTAACTACGTCCATTTGTACATTATTGAATTGTACAAAAAAGATTGTAAATAAATAATTGTTGTTGTAATATATAAAGTTATCGAAACGCAAATGCGTTGGATATCACAAGGAAGCATAAGTTCCACAGTAACAATACACCTTACAAATCTCGACACGGCTACTGCCAAAATCGACGATAAAAACTCCCAACGGGCAACAACATCAAACATTAACAACTGGTATTTCACAGGAAACCCGCTAAGTACAGACGGTAGCTAAACCTTGTTATTTGCGTATAAATCTGTGAACAATACCCCTTTTTGTTTAGCACACAAAATCCATAACTCTTTGACGTACCGCGCAAAAAATCTTCAATTGCAAAAAGGATTAAAGTTTGCGCCTTTGGGACATCTTTTGAATGTTTTCTTACAAACAATTGACTTAAATGTCATTTGACTGAGTAATTTGTGACTGTTAGCTACTTTAAATTTTTTGCTGCTCTGCCAAATAAAATCTTTTAACAACTTTTGTTTTTGTTAAATAGTATTTTTTATAATTTTTACTTTTTGCATTCGGTTATGATTTTAAAACTTGGAAAGCATGTTTAAGTTTGTCATAATTATAAATACAAAGATCGAACTTACCTATTTCTGCTGCCAAGCAGTAATGTAAGCATATCTGGGTTTCGGTTTTGAAGGGTAAGAGTGCTAGCGAAATTACAGGTACACGGGACTTTTCGACTTACGTCGCAGGGTGACGGGTGTTGTTGGCAGTGCAATTTTTGTGATTTAAAGCTATGCATGGCACTACAACTGTTATGGACAGGCATGTCGCTTAGTACCAGGCATACGACTTGCTCGTCACGTGACTTGGTAAAAAACCGAACACGAAGAAGACTCTAACTTGCGTCCATATGCCAAACTAGGGCCACAGCTTTACCAACAGAGCTACATACTTTGCAAATTTCTCTAAGCGTTAATTTCCAGAACTTGTGTTTCAGGTTTGTTCGGCTTTCGTCGCCGTAAGCGATACGCGTGAGAGATCTACGAAGCTTCAATGAACATCACAATCTCAAACGAAAATAACAAAAAAAATTTAATACCATGGAAGTAAAAAAATATCAATATGTATAGAAGTAGACGGCTTCCAAGCGATAATGCGAAAGAAAATAGTATCGCTTATGACTCGTGTCAGAAGTAGCCATAACAGCATCCTAAAAATGGTTGCAGGCAAATTGGATTGAATATCCAATTCTAAAGTACTGGGTTGGGCAAATCAAATCTGTTTTTATATACATATATTAAATAATGATTATGTTTATGTTGTGTCGTTGTATTCTGTATTCTGTCTGTACCTATTCTAACTGAAAATGGTACTAACAAATTATATGGGTCTATGCCTGAAATAAATAATTATTAGATAAGTTACTTATTCATACTGTTTAGAGGTAGGAAGCCTGGTCCTTTGTAAGCAGAAATGTCACCCAATATGGTTATTAGACGTAGTCAACGGAAACAAGAGGCTGTTCAAACATTAGGGGTTATATAACGTCTTTGGAAGCCGCTTTGTAATGAAATAAAGTTATTTTAGTGCAAGATTCTTTAAAAAAAAAAATAATAACTCTGCCAAATTTAAAATGTTGGTGTTTTTCATTTCTTTTTATTTTGTTTATTTGTGTGAGCATTCGTTTTATTGGTGCATGCGATGTGAAATCAAGCATGGGTACCTACTGTGAAAATTAATTAATTTTTTTAATGCTAGTGACTCGAAACATCAACGGAGGCGAATACATCTAATGAACTCAGTATGCTCCTTTATATTATAAAGTAGCAAGCTGCGATTGGCTGTTACTGAACGCCGTGACTTGCACGCAAAAAGAACTCATAAGGTGGTAACTAGTCAACATTGCTGATACTGTGGTGAAAACCATATCAAAAATCATTCATTATCAATTCACCGTCTATCAGAACATCAAATTTTGCACCTCATGTAAGTATGCATGTAGTGTTATGCAATAACTCGCTGATGTATCAGAGCTTTCGTACCAAGCAATTACGATCTGACCTTGCTTCAATATTATAAAAGAACATATTATGTTGTTTGAGTGTCTGAATGAAATGTACTACTAAAAGCCATCAGCGTAAAGATAGTATTTAAAACTGTTTATAGATTGAACAGATTGAGTATTTATTCAAATACTCAATCTGTTCAAGAATACATAATTAGGATCTCTGCCGAAATGCACTGGTTTCAGCTGAAGCAACTGACAAATTTGAAATTCTAGTATCATTCACTAGATTTGATTATATTCTAGGGTCATTGACGTACTCGGTGGTCCACAGTTTGATCTGTGGGCGCTGAATGAGGAGGTCGATTCCCGGTAGAACCAATTTAGGAAAGAACTTTTTTTAAATTGATTCTACGGAATGCTCCAAAGTGAAATCCGTTTCTCTGGTAGTCATAGCACAAGGAATTTCCTGGTATGAGACCAGGTAATTGGTGTATTTTATTGTTATTATTATGTCACACAAACCATATTATACATTATCAACTCATACCTTTAACTGCCTCCGTGGCCGAATGGTTACCATGCTTGCCTGACTCGCAGAGGCCCTGGGTTTGATTCCCGGGCCGGAAGAAATATTTGTATAGCCTACATTTATTTCTCTCGTGAATTTCGGTGGAATTTGTGGTTGTCTATGTGTGTGTCCATGGCAACCGCGACACAGGGTTTCCCTAGTGCGGGGATATGAAAAGATAGCCTTGTTATACACCACTCACTCACACACGAAATCTTTATAAAATGTCTCACCAAGAGCCTTATTATTAATATAGAATGCAATAGCAAGATCGCTGGATCACCACAATGTGAATAAAGGATATCTCTTAATAAACTGGACCCTACTCAATGACATATCGATAACTCATGCGTCATCACAAAGGTATTTTTAAAATGTCGCGTCGCGCACGTGGACGCCCATCGCGAAACAACAACACGATCGATCATTTCTCGCAATTATAATTTCGAGTGCTATCTTCAAAAACAAAACAATTGGGTATCCTCGCATTTACCAAGCTCGGTCAGTTTGTAGAGGGTCAAGAGCACGTCAAATTTGACACTTAAGAATTTTTTTAAATGAAACCAGTTGCTCCTGGTGGTAAGTGACACGCCATTCCATAACAGGTACAGAGAAACTCTGAACTCTAAATCGCAAATATCTAAGAGGCACTGCCTCTGCGCCCGTCACCATGAGACATATGTGGACAAGTCCCATGTGCCTGTAATTTCACCAAAAGCCTTACTCTTCCAAAACCTGTACGCAGTAATGCTCACATTACTGCATGGCGGCAGTAACTACCTGGACGAACTCTTTCACAAGGAACTCTACTGCAATCATCGATTTAAATTCAACTTTATGCCGCATGCAATAAGAATAGATTGTAAGTACAACGTTCTAGTTTATAAAAGTATGATATACGTAGAATTCAGGATTGTGTTGTTAGACACTTTGTTAAGTTCTGTTTACCGTGATTTTTCCTTTTAAATGTATTTTAGCAAAGACTCTTCCAATCTATATTTTATTTTATTTTGAATAGTCACTATTCGTATCTGAACATTAATTTGTAAACAATAGAAAAAGAAAACACAAGAGAATTCACTTTTTCGCATTCGTGTTTATCATAACTTGTCTAATGTACTCTATGATAACTCAAATCAGTCTTTAGACAATCGTGCACTAATAAAATGGATCCTGTATTATGGTATGATAAAACAGTGTTGCCGGCGCGAGTGCCCGTGTACCAAGTAAGTAGAAGATACGCATTGCGTGCCGACCACACAATGAGCCGGCGACATTGATTGATGACTCCACATTCAACGAATACATTACGATTTTTGCTTTCATTTCGTTTCGTTCAATACGAATGTCACAAGGTTATGATATCGATGCGTTACGAATGATCGCTTCGACTCGAAAGCTTCAAATGTCGTAGGAGTATCCAAAAATGGTAATGCGAATTAGACTTCGGAGTTTCAAGTCACGAGGAAAATATTTATTACCGACCTACAAGGATTGTGAAATTTTGTAATAAATAATGATTATCTTGGTTCAATTGCAATACTTTTAATCGATTTGGGTGGTTACATAAGGCTAGATAGATTTCACTTTTCCAGTTCAGCTTACACTTTGATCCAAGAAAGAGATTGTAAAGTAATTTATCTTTTTAAAGTGTAGTAGTATTATCACGTTTTTTTCTTTTCAAAATATTACGGAAATGAAATTGTCTAAAGCCATTTCATATTATTACTATATTTATTGGTTTCGTATTCACAGTTTTCCTATTTTAGTTACAAAACAATATTCCGTTTTAAAATTAAATTTCACATATTTGTACTTAAACCTAAGTCATTGTCTATTCACTCGCCATTCTGCTTTATTTCATATCGATATTGTATATGTATAACGCACATTTCTAAACATTTTATATAACATCGACTTTTGTGTTAATAATACTGACACAGAAATAAACTGGTATGACAGCTGAATATTTAAAAACGACTGCTTATTAAAGCCACCAAATAAGGCTAAAAACATTTTCGAGAAATTGTTGTAATCAATCGATCGATAAATAAGCTATTACACCACCCTCAGACAGTTTTCAAAACTTAGGTATGACTTTACCATTTTAGACAGCCGTAACCATGGGACATGAAACGTTAGTTTGCTTGAAAACACAAATATACGATATTTAGGTCCGAAAAAATAGTTAATTGGTTCGGAATTGTGCGCTACAATTTTAAAACCACTACTTATTTATTTATATTACCCCGGAACATCTACCCATCTGTGACATACTTTTTGTTGTAATCATAATGCATTCAAATATGTATTTTTGCAGTATGGAAAATTATAACACATCTAAATTCACAAAAGCCTTATATTCAAAAGTTATTCAATACCTAAATAGAAAAATAGAGCAAACATCTATGCATATAAGACAGATTGGTAGATGCTTAAAAATATACAACAGAATGCTCATAAAGTCAAATAGTTAATTAATTAAGAAGTAATAAATAACATGGTAACTAAGAGTTACTACAGATCAAAGATAATAAAGGTTAAAGAAGTTAAAATAATACTGGCATTTCGATTAAGTGTAATCTTAAAATTTAAATAATCAGTGACAATGACTTACAGTAAAATGTACAAATCCAACACTCAGAAAGTCTAAGCCTACCCTAAAGTAATAGTAATCACACTTTTGACATTGTAAAGTTGTCCACTTACCTATCCAAACATCCAATATGACTGACACTATTATTAATTACACAACTTAAAACATAGTCTTAAATTAATTAAATTTTAATCATCACTTTATTACACCTTATCACCGCAAAGGAATGGTAAGAATTAGACAGTTCTTTCACGAAAATATATGTAATTTATTCTTCTAAAGATTATAAGGCGGTGAGACCATAATCAGATTTTATGACTGGTTGATTGCCGGGATTGAGCCCTGTGCCACAACCAGCGTTGCCTACTGGTGAACCATGCATGGAAAGATTAGCAACTGTTGCATGATCCATACCTGCATGCATGCCCATCATGTGTAAATGATGCGGAGTCATATGCCCAGGATTCATTTGTCCAGGATGAGACATCGGACTTATTGCAGGATCGTGTGACAAATTTTGCTGAGCACCAACGCAATGCAAATCATTCATGATATTGTCTGTTACGTTCTCTATGCTATCTGGACGCCCGTTGTTGTTCGATTTCTTCTTGTCGTTGTTATTTGTATTCTTATTTGATCTACTCTTTGGTGTGGCTTTTGTCGTCGTTGTCGTCACTCCGGCAGGGTTTGTTTTTCTTCTAACATTCTTTGTGTTCGGGAGTTTATTGTCTTTCTTCCACTTCATCCGTCTGTTTTGGAACCAGATCTTAATCTGCCGTTCTGATAGGACTAGAGTGTGGGCTATCTCTATTCGTCTTCTTCTCGTCAAATACCGGTTGTAGTGGAATTCTTTCTCCAGTTCTAATATTTGGTGTCTGGTGTACGCCGTCCGTTGGCGTTTTGGCTCCATTCCTGGTTGGAATTGACCATTGGCTGTAACAAAAATTACCATAATTTTAGAATTAATCATAACCAAAAAAATCAACAACGATTTTAACTTATTATTCCACGTAATATATACCCCAAGTAATTAACTTATTTTAGGAACTTGGCCAAAATTATCTATGTAAAAATCTGTATATCTAAACATGGATTTAACTTTAAAAGCAATCTAGAGCAACAGTGATGATAATTATGCCATCTTGCGATGAAGACGTTATTCTCATAGCTAGACCGCATTCTCTACTAAGTTTTTGCAATATTCCCTGATGAATTCACACACCGTTAATGCTCTTGTGAGCTCGCAAAAACTATAGTTTCTGTGAGATGAGGAGCATCAGTAATGTTTATGTACTATGTATGTTTTAACATACATATACGATTGTCCTATGGTATTGTAGTCATTCATTTTAATCTTTATTTTCAAGCCGTAATAATTCATAATATTGTATATTTGAGCTAATACTGACGACCGTTTCAGAATACGACATCATGTATGAAATCTTGAATATCAAAGTTTTAATTGCTTTAAGTATGAAACAGCATTTCAAAATCCCTGCCATTTCTAATAACTATTTATGAAGAAAGATCATACCATCACTGGTTTTCAGGAATAGTGTTAGCTACTAAAAGTTGCTACATAGTAACCTGTGACTATATCTTTATCACGTCTTAATAGATAATATACCATTAACCACCATAACAGGCAATACACTGTCATAATAACTATGCACATAGAGTGTGGTGGTAGCACATTGCGTGCCAAGCATGCTGAATAATTTATACGGCAACCTCTGGGGCACGCGTTAATTAATGTGCATAATAATTACTACATGCACGGGCATGAGCTTCCTTTTTTGTTTTGATTAATTACGCCTAGCAAATTAGTTCGTTTTTAATATAATATGATAGGTCCGGCTGGAAGGAGTATCTAGTTAGGAAAATGGGGGTGTAATTTATGTAGAGCCTCATTTTTGCGAATCTTTAAGATGCAACACAAACCGTGTCTATATTTTTGTTAAAACAATGTAGTTCAATGAGAACAAGTGCATCGCAATCATCATACACAGATTTTAGTGAAATAAAGGTGATAAAAAATTTAAAGACAACGTAGATGATGGACAAGTGGTGAATGGCTGTGATGTTGTACTCCCTCCCTGCGGACTTATTCTCTTGAACGCTAGAACTTTAGGTGTGCATGCGTCATCATCGACCTCATAATAACTTTCCATCAGATGAGATGGAGGTTAAATATGGTCAAAAAAGGAGGAGGTTCTCAATTTTGTATGTTGCACGATTACACATTTACATTACGGTATTTGTAAACTGATTTTAATGTTTTTTTTTGTTGGGAAAAGAGTACCTACCTCAGTATTGGGTCCATTTAAATTTGAAGAAAATATTCTACCTCTAAGGGTGGCAAACTAGGGGATGAAACCGGTTTCGCGCACTTTCCGGTAATCGATTTCAATAAAACTTACAAAGAGATGCAATTCCACGAACTTTTGAAATGCTTTTGTTTTTTAAAGTTATTATTTGTATAAAAAAAGAGGAAGAGATTAGCAAATCTAGTGTAGCTGAAAAGCTGTGGAGCAAAAAGGAAAAAATCTATAAGCAAATAGGAAAAATGTGACTGTAGTTACATTGTCAATTATAATAGACAAACTAAATAATAAAAAAACAAAAAGTATTATTCCTATAACTACACTATAACGTTATACTAATTCTTCAATTAGTATATAAAATAGCTAAAGTACCTCAACATTTGATAAAAAATTCCTGCACTTAATTTCCCAAATAGGTAAATAGAAAAAGTAAAGAAGTTATTCGTTGAATAGACGTCAAAAATTGCTGTGAATAGAGTTACCACTCGTCGCATAGTGCCATTGTTGGCGCAAACTTGATAATGCCTTAATTTCCTTTCAAGGAAATTGCCTTTATACTCTACTTGTTCGTGGCGTTGAAAAGAAAATGTATTATATTATATTAGATTGGAACATATTAGAAAGGAATACAATTCCAATTTAATGAAGTTTAGTAGGACAGCTAATATTCCAAGAACTAGTATACAACGAGATATACTATCGAGTTTAGATCACTGGACGTGCAGGATGTGACAATTTACACGAGACAGGCATTAGCGAGCATTGGGTTGACAATGGTGAGGTGGGAGAACTTACTTAAGCATAATCTCCTATGCAAATATATACATACATATAGCAAATTACAATGGGAAAAGCGCTAAACTCTAGCCTAAAATGAACTAAATATAATCACATGCTTCAGGCCCAGCAAGCAATGCCCTCAGTTTCGTATGACAAACATACTTTTCTAGATACCCTATGATCATATAGAAAATATAACGTTAAATTTAAGTGCGGTAATTTCATTATAGTGTACACTGGATGTTTACGTGATCGTCTTCAACCAATTTATAAGTCCCGCTGTTGGGCACGGGTCTCCGCGCAGGCCAGGATTTTAGGCCTCAGTCCGCCATGCTGGCACAATGTAGGTTGAGGATTTCAAACGTTTCCCGAGGGTTCTGAACTTTCTTCGACGTGAAAGTTTCTTCACGATATTTTCCTTCACCGAAAAGCTCATGGTAAAGTTCAAATTAATTTACGCACATAAATCCGAGAAAATAAACCCGGATTCGAACCCATGGCCTCTGCTCGAGAGGCGGTAGGTCAATCTATTAGGCTACAACGGCTTTACGTAATGATAGAAATAATATTATCTGGATCTGAATCGATTCCCATATTATGTAGGATCAAGGATAAAGGTTAAGAAATTAATACGAAAATGCGAGATGAAATAAATGTACCCCACAATTATACTATTATAGGTCTCAAGCTAGGGATTTCCTTGTTCTCTGAGTACTTAGTTCTTAAGCCTCCGCGATGACTACACATTGGAAATGAAACTACATTTTCGGTCATAAGTCGCGTATATTTGTTTTCTCAAACAAATATAATTTCTAATCAAGTTTCTTGAATGTAAGAATTGTTGTGCAAACCACAATGATATTTAATTGTTTTTTTTTTTGTGACATTACTGCACTAGTTTATTATTATATACCATACAAATTATCGATTAGCTTATAGAATATTGTTCTTCTTGTTTAAGTGTAGCACCAACATGCCTATTGTTTTTTTTTCTGTTTGGCCCAATGGTTGACTGATAGAGAACGCCTTATGGCATTACGTCCGCCATTTCTATTGTACAATAAAGTTTAAATAAACAAATATTATTACAAAAACTGAACACTTAGAAAAAAAAAGCAGTTACGTGTGTAGGTACCTCGCTCTTCCAAGTTACATTCTTTTTTTTTATCCGTAAATAAGGAAATTTAAATTAATTAATCAGAAAAATTTAAAGAATACGATCTTCATGTGCAAATTGAAAATAAAATTATATTGTAATGTAAAATAAAAAATGCCTTCGATCCGAACTTTCTTCGATTTTAGATTGGATTCAAACCAACACAACGCCTTCAGCAATTCAACATACCGTGTGTGTTAGGTATGGAGCCAGATCGAAGAAGTTTTTTTAGCACTCGATCTTTGTATTAATAATTACAAAAACTAGGGGAGTTATTTCACAATATAATTATTGAATATCATAGTAGTAAATCATCGTGAAATTCAATAAAACTTTATGTTACAATTTATGTTAAACTCAGAAAGATCACATACGTTTTATGGCCATTAATTCTCTACAAAGAAAAACATTAAATAGATCTAGAAATGGATACACAACAGTTGTAAAATCTTGTTCATTATTCATTTTCTTCGAGAGACAATGGATTCAAAGAAAATGCTGCGTCATCAGTAGTTCACGTTAGTTTACTTTCATGTTTTTCCAATAATTACTGTCAAAAAACCTACATTCACAGTTTCATCAAATACAATGTTCAAGACAAAATAAAGGTAATAATAGACAAGGTAATAATATACGACGTCGCACTATACCTACACGAATAAAAACAAATCAAGCAAGCAAATAATTCTAAAATATAAGCGTTATTATTTTTATAGATAAAATAATGTTACATAATTATAATATTATTATAAATAATGATGTATAGAAAATAAAAATAATAATATTAATAATAACGCACACACTCAACTTAGCCCCGCACTTGGGAAGCCCTGTGTCGCGGGTGTCATGGACACATACATAGACAACCACGAACTACACCCAAACTCACGACAGAAATAAATGTAGGCCATACAAATATTTCTCCCGGCCCGGAAATCGAACCTGGGACCTCTGCGTGGCAGTCCAGGATGGTAACCGTTCGACCGCCTCTGTTGCAGTATAAATAAAAATACAGTATGGTAAAAATATATAATACGAGACGAAAAACATATAATTATTTTTTAATACATTTTTTCATATACCTAAAGCACTGGAAACTATGTTTAAAGGCTCGTGGTAAGGGTAATAAGTTAGTCTTAAACCTCGACAAGCAAGTCCCTCCAGTGGTATTCCAAATATACTTATCGTTTTTGCTTATATTGTTCAATTATTGCGTCTACAAAACCCAATAACTAATCTGAATAATGGAATCAACTTTGTTTGTAATCGTATTCCAAAAGAATGAAAACAAATGTAATCCTACAGAGAGCACATAGCCACATAAAGAATAAGCATACATCTACATTATATTCATCCCACATGACAACACCGCCTTTGTCAGAAAGGGATAGACATAAAGTTACTGGGTCCGTCCAGGAATTTCTTTGAGAATCTCCGCGGTTTCGGGTGGTATGTGCGGTCGACGGACACCGAGATTTCTAGTGGTCACACCGACATCGCCACATTGATACGGGTTTAAGGCTGCTTCGGAATTGGGTGGGTGTGGATTGTAATTTTAGGTAGGTTCTAGATAAGTGTGGGTGTATACTGTTATAATATATTTCAAACGTTGACTCTCTGTCATGTACTTGCATGTTTAAACATTCTAAAAATCCCTACAAATAATTTTTCAT